AAAAAAAAACAACCCCCCAAAAAAAAAAAAAAAAAAAAAAAAAAAAAGGAATTTTAGCCATGGCCCAGAAAAATTAAAAGTCTAGAAACTCATAATCAGAGAAAAATCGCGAACCTTGAGGTGGCTAAACAACAATGGCGACGGATCCATTTTGCAGAAAATGAAGCTGGAGATAAGAAAAGTAGATGCAGTGACATTGTATGTGAAACAACAAAAGTGAGAGTGAAAGAGAGATCTGAGGATGAAAGTGAGGTTGCGTTGGGTTAACGTGTACCTTCTTCTCCTTGATGATGATGGTACAATGAATCAGAAATGCTCTCCAAAACACAGTCAAGTCAGTAGCTAAATAACTCCCCAGTTTCAGTTACTCAGATCGAGCCAGAGTGGAAAAAAATGCACTCCGGCCTCTCTGTTTTTTAAATAAATTAATATTAAAAAAAATCATGTATTGGATATTTATGTGATTAGCTATTTAATGAGGATAAAAAAATTGAGATGAAATTGAGAAAGAAAAAAAAGTGATTTAAATTCATAAATAAAATAAAAGAGAGTAAAGTAATTTATATTAAAATAGAGATTACACAGTTATAGAAAGGAATATTATTTTTATATAATGAGATAGATTTGAGCATTTATTTTAAGAGTTAATCATTTATATATTGTTAATGTAAAGTTTTTTATACTGACAACTAATGGTACTTGAAGCACATAGTATTTAAATGGTACTTAGTGGACTAATCCCATAAGTGGCTTGGTTATGTTAACTAATGTCATGGTAGATTCATACCTGTAGACACCCAATTTCGTCCGGGGGGCACACAAACGAAGAAATTGACCTCCGTTATAAAGGGAAGGAGCTTCCGAAGCAAGCAAACAACAAGATAGAACATCAGAAGGCCTAAAGGAATCCCGAGTGTTGATTCCTCAAGCTTGTTCTCTTCTCCGTTCAAGCATTTTCTTCCTTTCTTCTTTGTTCTCCACTGTCCCGAAGCTCGACATTCTTCACCGAGGTAAGGGAAGCTGGGTTTTTGGCCGATTTTTGTTGGAAATGAGTTCTTAAACTCATGGTGTGGTTGATTCCGAGAGGATTGATGGTTGTGTGTGATGAAAAAGGGGTTTTCGGGGTTCCCGGGGTTTGATGAAAATTTGGGTTTTTTCTTGTTTGATGGTTGCATGTGTAAAAAGAGGAGATTTTTGAGCTTTTGTTTGAAAATGTGACAATTTGGCTGGTTTGCATGTGTTGGAAATGTTGATCTTTGCAGGTTTTTGAAGAAACTTTCAAACTTGGTGAGTTACTGCTGGGTATCACGCTGGGCGCAGTTCTTGGCGTCGGGCGCGTGACCATCAGAGGGCTCCATTTGGGCAAGCCTGCGGGGTGCAAGGGTGTGTGCGCCGGGCGAGCTTGAGAATGTGAGCCTCTAGATGGCACACGCCGGGCATGGTTGGACCGCGCTGGGCGCGATATCGGTATGTAACATGTGTTTTGGGATTTCTGGTGCTGCGCCGGGCGTGACTACTTCTCGCCGGGCGTGGAGACTCCTTGGGAGTCTCTGCCAGAGGTGGCGCCGGGCGCAATTGGTATTGCGTCGGGCGTGAGACCTTGGGGAGGTCTCTATCTACCCTGCACTGAGCGCGGGTTTGGCACGCCGGGCGTGTGAGGCTCTTTGGAGTATCTACCTCCTAGCACGCCATGCGTAATAGGAATTGCGCCGGGCGCGTTTGAGCCCTGGTGCTCTCTGGTTGGGCCACGCCGGGCGCAACCACGAGTGCGCCGGGCGCGGATGTGTACTTGCTGAATATGCTGATATATGTTGAACAATGCTGATAGATGTTATTATATGCTGAGCTGAGCTGTAATTGATAAATATTGTCATGCTATTAGATGATAATGCTGAATTATAATCTTGTTGTGTTGTGAGTAGTTTAAGCTGTGTTGTATGCTGTTAATGATGATATTGCTGATTTGTTGTGCTGTGCTGCATGCTGATATAAACTGTTTTAGGCCGTAAGGCTGAGCTATTGTAAGTCGTAAGGTTGAGCTGTTGTAGGCCGTAAGGCTGAGCTATTGTAGGTCGTAAGGTTGAGCTGTTGATCACTAAGACTAGAGGAGATGTTTTCTAAATTTCTCATCTCATGGTGTGGATTGAGGTAGCTGTGGTACTCTTAGAGCCCAATTTGTTGAAAACCCTCCCTGGGAAGCTGACCCTTCGAGTGGTCACTATGTTGTTCTCCTCTAAGTACGTAGTTGGTCCCGTGTGTGAGCAAGGTCGAGGCACACGTGTATAAAGTGACCACAGTATAGGGGCAAGGTCGAGTTATACCGCTTACAAGCGACCAAATCTAGCTGATATGCGTGACGACGCATTGAGTGTTTACTACTGTTTATGCTGTATATGTGATAAGTTGTATGCTGATGATGTGCTGATAACTGTAGCTTTTTACCATTCATGTATTTATATATATGTATGTTGATTCTTTTCACTAGCTTACCCTTTGTTGTTTCCATATGGTTTGGACTGTAATGATCATACTATATATGAGAGCAGATCATCAAAAGAATACTGATTGAGTTGGTCGTTGTATGTTGAGTTGTATGTTGAGGTAGGTCTACAGCTGGCAGATGGAGTTGATTCTTTTGCTTGAAGTTGAGATAAGGAAAGTTATAAGTAGAATACTGATTGAGTTGGTCCTTGTATGTTGTTGAATTATATCAAAATTGTTAATTTTGGGTGTGTTGTTGAATTGAAGAATTCGATTCTTGTATGTGGGATATTTTGGGTCTTTTGAACATGTTGGAAGATTTAGATGATTGTAAATTAAATCTTTGTTGCATGTTGTTGTTTTTGTTGGAAATGTGTTAAGAATGTTGAGTATATACAAAATCTTGTGTTACATGTGGATTTTCCTAAATTTTAGGTGTGGTGAGCTAATTGGAGTATTTGGTGTAGAACTCGTTGTTGTGCTTGGCGTAGTTTGATCAAGGGCACTTTGTCTTGATGGCATCAAGTGTGAGGAGAGAGAATTATTTCGAGTTGAACTGATATCGAGTGTGAGTCAAATGACATTGAACGTGAGGTGAGAGGATTGACTTGGTTTAAATTAGTGTTAGACACCAAAGGAGTGACATCAAACATGAGGGGAGAGAATAGTCTTAGGTTAAATTTAGGTCAAGCATGAGACTTTGTCATGCCAAAAGTGAAGGTTTAGGAGGACTCTACCTAATCCACATCGAATATGGGTTGTATGACGTCAGGCGTGGACAAAGCAGAGGGCTTTTTGCCTTAGTGGCATTGGGTGCGAGTTTTTATTGTTTTAACTTGTTTATGATGAAATTGGTGAATGTGTTGTATGATGTCTTAGTTGTACTATATGTGATATCTTGATGTATGATGTTGAATCTCTATACATTGATCTAGGATAGTATATAGTTGATTTTGTTATACTAAGTTGCATGTTGTTTAGTTGAATGCTTAAAAGATGAGTTGAGTTGTATGATGTTGTTAAGTAGCTATATTAAGAATGTTTTGGCATTAAAGTTGTACTATGTTGATCAACCTAGGTCTAGAAGAGAAGTTGTTTTAAAATTATATATCCTATCGTAAGGATATTGTGTTGTGGTACTCCAAGAACTCAATTTGTTAAAAAAAAACCTTTTGAGAGGTTGACCCTTGAAGAAGATAGTTGAGTCTCTTCTAAGGCATTAGTTGATGTGGTATATGAGTCAAGTCAAGGCATATTGATTATAAGAGACCAACTATTGATCCGTATGTGGACAAAATTGAGACATATGTGTATAAAGCGACCATTTTAGAGTAAGTTACAAGGTCACGAGCCAAAATCCTTAACTAAGTACTTGAAGCACATAGTATTTAAATGGTACTTAGTGGACTAATCCCATAAGTGGCTTGGTTATGTTAACTAATGTCATGGTAGATTCATACCTGTAGACACCCAATTTCGTCCGGGGGGCACACAAACGAAGAAATTGACCTCCGTTATAAAGGGAAGGAGCTTCCGAAGCAAGCAAACAACAAGATAGAACATCAGAAGGCCTAAAGGAAAAAAAAGGTGGCTTTTAGTGGCCCGGAACGGGCCGTTTTAAAGTTGTTTATTTTATTATTATTTTATTAAATAAGTGTGAGACCCGTGGTTTTTTTTCTCATTTCTCCCTCTCAACTCTCACTCACTCTCACTCTCATTTCCTTTTCTCTCAATTTCTTGTGGTGATCTTGGCTGTAGGTGCGAGTGGTGAGTGAGCTGATTTCCTTTCCCGAGTGTTGATTCCTCAAGCTTGTTCTCTTCTCCGTTCAAGCATTTTCTTCCTTTCTTCTTTGTTCTCCACTGTCCCGAAGCTCGACATTCTTCACCGAGGTAAGGGAAGCTGGGTTTTTGGCCGATTTTTGTTGGAAATGAGTTCTTAAACTCATGGTGTGGTTGATTCCGAGAGGATTGATGGTTGTGTGTGATGAAAAAGGGGTTTTCGGGGTTCCCGGGGTTTGATGAAAATTTGGGTTTTTTCTTGTTTGATGGTTGCATGTGTAAAAAGAGGAGATTTTTGAGCTTTTGTTTGAAAATGTGACAATTTGGCTGGTTTGCATGTGTTGGAAATGTTGATCTTTGCAGGTTTTTGAAGAAACTTTCAAACTTGGTGAGTTACTGCTGGGTATCACGCTGGGCGCAGTTCTTGGCGTCGGGCGCGTGACCATCAGAGGGCTCCATTTGGGCAAGCCTGCGGGGTGCAAGGGTGTGTGCGCCGGGCGAGCTTGAGAATGTGAGCCTCTAGATGGCACACGCCGGGCATGGTTGGACCGCGCTGGGCGCGATATCGGTATGTAACATGTGTTTTGGGATTTCTGGTGCTGCGCCGGGCGTGACTACTTCTCGCCGGGCGTGGAGACTCCTTGGGAGTCTCTGCCAGAGGTGGCGCCGGGCGCAATTGGTATTGCGTCGGGCGTGAGACCTTGGGGAGGTCTCTATCTACCCTGCACTGAGCGCGGGTTTGGCACGCCGGGCGTGTGAGGCTCTTTGGAGTATCTACCTCCTAGCACGCCATGCGTAATAGGAATTGCGCCGGGCGCGTTTGAGCCCTGGTGCTCTCTGGTTGGGCCACGCCGGGCGCAACCACGAGTGCGCCGGGCGCGGATGTGTACTTGCTGAATATGCTGATATATGTTGAACAATGCTGATAGATGTTATTATATGCTGAGCTGAGCTGTAATTGATAAATATTGTCATGCTATTAGATGATAATGCTGAATTATAATCTTGTTGTGTTGTGAGTAGTTTAAGCTGTGTTGTATGCTGTTAATGATGATATTGCTGATTTGTTGTGCTGTGCTGCATGCTGATATAAACTGTTTTAGGCCGTAAGGCTGAGCTATTGTAAGTCGTAAGGTTGAGCTGTTGTAGGCCGTAAGGCTG